GCAGATGCCTTTATGGCACGAAGGGTCTCCAACCCAGGTGAAACCACAGGTCCGCATATTCCAACCACACAGTCTAAATACGCAGTCATATTATCAGGGTGGTACTATCACCCCTTAAACCAACTCTTCTGCAATGTAAGGCTCCTAGCTTGGTAATCGTTATATTTACATTAAATATTTACTTGGTTTTGTCTAGTATGTTTTGGGGTTTAGCACAGGTATCAGCTTCAGACTGGAAAACAAGGCTACACTTTCTGTTTAGGGAAATAACTCCTACGTTTTTCAAAACATTAGAAAAACCAGTTTCGTAAAGGTTTAAGTTTCACAGAGAACAGACATTTTGTTCTCTGTGAAAAAGAATTTTCACCCCTTAGTTCATCCTGTCACTTGTCCCAAGATAAACAAAATTTTCATTTCCAGTCTCTCTTAGTATCAATTCCACTGCATGCACCTTCCCTTTGATTTTACATAAGGAACTAATTTTAGATAAGACCACTGTAACTCATTTAAAAATTCCTCCAGAATGAAGAATGCCACTAACAGAGGGTCTTCTCCACAGAGGAAAAGTGGAATCTCTTTAACAGACTCCAAAATGCCAAGGAGTTATATGCCTCTAGGGGACAAATCTTAGCAACAGCAAAACTTAGGGAACTGTTGCAAGCGTAAAACAAAGAGTCTCTGATATTTGACAGGGTTCTTTCCAAAATAAAGCATGCTTCTGTAGATTCATATTATAAAGTCTAAATACTTGATCCATAAACAGATGCAGCTTATTAATTGCACATGTATATAACCATCTTATTCACTATTAAAATAAGCAGTACTACCTACAAAATAAAGTGCTAGCCAGTGCCTTAAAGTTAGTTTGGTTTGGGGTTTGGTTTTTTAATACAACAAAAAGTCCACCCATGAATAAAACAAATTCTGTGAAGCGTACATGCTGGATGGCTCACAGAATCCAGAGCACTGCAAAGAGATGCAGCAGCAACACAGCCTTGACACAGTCCAACTTTCAGCCAAGGCCGCCTCCCACCTTTTGTACATTGTGTTAAACATTTAGTGATAAGGTATGGCATAACATAGTTCCCTATTTTATTTAACCATAAGTACTCATAACATTTGAGATAGACAACTGCTCCCATTGCAAAATTACTGTGAAGAAAAAGTTCAGCTTTAATGATACTTCAGAAACCGGATCAGCGTTTGAATCAGGTTTACATCAAGGCCTTGTTCAACTCTTATCTAGCTAAACTCTCAGGGAGAGCGGATATTCGTAATTTCTTAGTCTTCAATCACGCAATGACAGTTTAGACGGGTGGGGATCTTGTGATGATACACTGAAGGCTACAAAAAGCAGAGGGGTTTCTGCTGAAATCCCACACTGGGATTTGTATCAGATCTAGAATTTCATCTCTCCCCATTACATGGAGAGGTAGTTGGACCCAGCTCTGGCCTGATGCCAGATTTTCTCCATAAACCATCACTACACAAACAAAAGGCAGAAAAGACAGCAGCTATTGCACCCAGTGATGACTGCCGTTTAAGGCTGACCTAGCAGATCAAACAGAAACCATGTAAACCACACAGAAAGCTTCATGCTTTTATCTTTAGAAAACAACAAAAAAATCCAATTGGTGTAAGGATATGTCAGCAAGAGGGGAAGAAACCATTTTCCTGCAACAGCAGTTGTAGAAAACACAGGCAAATTAGCAGGTGAAAGGAACTTCTGTCACTGAAAATCTTTATTGGGGTCCCAACTCCAGGGTATGCAGCTCTGATATTTCAGAGTATGGCTGCTGTTTCCACAGCTTTGTGCACAGCCCACTAATCCCATGGCATCAGATCTCTTCAAGTTGTGTGTCTTCACCTCAACATAACTTTATTTGTTGCCAGCCAACAGCAGGAACCCTTTCTTCAGTATCTGTTAATGCACACTTCACTACTGCCTCTGAACGGAACAGCGACACTTCACATCGTACCAGCTGCACCAATTCGCAGTAAGACAGCGCACCTCTGTCACACAAGATTCACCTTTACAGTGCTATGCTCCTTTCACGCCCATTTCTTTTTAATTTTGAATATTTACACAAAAGCACTAATGATTTTATTGTTATATTTTGCCAAGAAAGTCTCGTTTTCGGATTCTCTGGTGTTTTCCTTCACAGGGTAGTTAAGAAACTGGAACATCCCACGCCCCCCCAGCCTCCATCTACAAACTAATTGCTACGTAATTAGTTTGCTACATAAAGAAATAAACAGTTTTTATATATATATATGTGCATGCATATATATATATATTAAAAAAATTAGTATGTATATATATCAATAAATGTAACCGACCCAGGACATACGCACACTCGTGTCCTGGGTCCATTTCTGGCTCCAACCAGCTTTCTGCAATACTATGCCTCAGTTTCCTCGTTTGGCTATGGCATCTCCTACTGCAAAGGTTTTTAGTGATTATTTCTACAGCACCCAGCCCTCATGTCAGCCAAGGTGCCTCTGCAGAGCCGGCTTTGGAAGCCACCACAGCCACAGGCTACATGGGCTCCTGCCAGGGCAACCAGCACAGCCAGTCATCCCACCTGGGCGGGATGCCCGGCCACACCTTTTGCCGGCCGCAGGCAGGGGCTGGCGGATGGAGCTGGTATTATCAGCTGAGCCGTAACACAGCTAATGCATTTTTAAACACTTATTTCTGATGACTCAATCTAAACCCCAAGAGCTATTACTATTAGAAGACTAACATAAAGCCACTTGCAGGGCATTCAGGTTTTGGGGTTCTTTCCCTTCATTTCTCACAATTTTTTCCAATTTTATCTAAATTACTGATGGCTCAATTATTATCACCCTGTTTAAACAGAAGCATAATTGACCAGCTGCCTCCAAATGGTATTTAAACCACCTTTGACCTCCAGCTTGCACAGAAAAAGCTTACGGTTCTGTCACAAGGAGGAAATATATGATCCCCCAACTAAAATGGCAATAAAGCAGACTGCAGTGGGAAGACAACTTGGTAGTCTTACAATTCATGTATTATTCAAATTCAAATAATTAAATCCCTACCAATACCCTTACTTTAAAAAAAAGAAAACTTACTTTGCTTCGTAACTATCATCCTTTGAACCATCTCTTCACTAGATCAACTTTATGAAAAGGACAAGTTGCAGAAACTTTCTTCTAGAAATTCAAACTCTAGTAACATAATAGTATTTTATTAATGAAATTATTCCATCTTTAACAAAGTATCAGGAATCTAAAAGAACAGTCCAAGACTATGAGATTCTTGATTTATAATTAAAAAAAGAAATGCTGAAAAAGACTGTATCAAATTAGCATATTGAATTCAAGTGTATTGATCAAGCCCACTCCAATGTAACGCAAATGACTGGAGATTATGGTCACTCTTTCTTTCTCAACAAAAAGCAGACAGCTAATAAAAGTCGGTATATCAAAGCCTCTTCATAATACCTTTCACAATTAAAAATCATCTTTAACGTTCCTAATGCCACAGCATAGAAGGGCTCCCCCCTGCCCCCATACAACTAAAACCCCTTCTCAGCAGTAGATGTGTATCAATCACAGTAGTAGTTCACAAAGAAACATCACAGTACCAATTTGATCCATGGACAGCAGGGATTTATGCTACATTATTTCAAAAAGAATATGTTAACTTATCATTACCTCCATATATAGTGAAAATACTCACATACAACTCTGAACATGTTAAAAAAAAAAACAAACACAAAACTGAACACCACCCCAAAAACCTACCTATGTTTAGACAGCCAGTCATTCATAAGCAAAGGCACTCATTTAGTAGGAGACTCCTACCAACTTCAGTAAAGCTAGGGTTCACTGAAGAATTTTAAGGCCCACTGTTTACAGCTCCAAGACAACAACAGTTTTGAATAAAATACACATGAAGTTCATAAATATAGGGGTGGAAATACTCCTTTCTCACGAGCGTGCATTTGAGAAAATCAAATAAATTTAAAAGACAACAATTTAGTTGTACAACTCAGATATAGTTCCTGATTTCAACAGAAGTTGCATAAAAGATATAACATTACCTATTATTACTAGGCCATTCAAAAAAATCAAAATTCTTTGGTCAAATATAATTTTTTGCCTTTTGGAAAGTTCTGAGAAAAGCAAGCAGCACTCAGCAACACATTAGCTTCTCAAAGAAAGTTTTGCATCAAAGCTCTGCTTTTAAACTTTTATTTTTTAAACAACAACAACAAAAAAATCCTCCACTTAGGAAAGTTAGGTTGTCACCATCTTACATTTCAGAATACAAAACTGAAAAAAATCCCTATAAAAAAAAAAACTGAAAAAAAACCCTAAAAAAAAAAAAAAAAAAAAGGAGAGGACTTCAGCCAAGTATTCAGCTAATTATTGCTGTAGTTGGAACTCAAGTCCATTTAAACCCCCCTCTGTTTTGGTCATTTGTAGCGAGAACATGTTTGGAACACTAGCAGCAATAGAAAACCCCTTTAAAACCTAGGCATAGTTACATTGTTGAGTGAAAATTAGCAGAAACCATAACCATTGGAACATAACAAAGCATCCTGTAAAAGTACAATTGAATTGGTAGCTAGAAAAACAGGGTTGATTTAAAGTGCTATCCCAAAGCCTTACACGGGCCAATGTCAGAAAAGAAAAGTCCTTTTTTCCCCACTAGGTAGAGCCCAGAACCACAGCACTACTCCAAACAACGAATGCAGCCTTCACTCCACCTCAATGCCTCATCTCCCCCACCCTCCTCCAACAGGTGAAACACAGAAACTGGAAATAATTCATAATTCCAAATTTAGGTGATACGCACAATTATACTGTTGACAAGGTTTGGACAGCAAACAGTACACCTGAGTTCAGTCATACAAACTAACTTCTGTAAATAGCGTTAAGATGAATATATCCAGGTCTCTAATACGAATCTAGATGTATTTCCTTACAAAACGCATTAATAGAAATATCCAGGCAAATACATACCATACAATAGCAAAAGCTTTAAGCCCCATTTAATAAGATGACTTTCCGATTAAAAATAGAAGGCAATTAAGATTACTCAAAATTACAATTAAGAAAAGCTTTCACAGTGCAATATTGAAACTGTCACAAAGTTAAGAAAATACTGATATCAAAGTACAATCACAATGTTAAAGTAGACAAACTACTATACAAGGGCATATCTTGTAAAATTAAAAGGAATGAACACAACATAGGGGACACCTCACGTCCCTGCTCTACATATCTCGTTTCCTAATCTTCGGAGTTGTAACTGTGTCTTTCTGACATTGGTAGAAGTCTTGTTAAAACTAAGAGGTTCATTCTTCTTTGCAGACCAGATTTCAGAGCCCGGTTACTTCTTGAAAATACGTTCTTCATCACTGCACAATTTCAAAGTAGTGCAATATTGCCATGATGTGCTGAGGCATGAACACATAGCCCGTGTACAGTGCCATTCCCACAATGGAAACTAGCATGGAATCTGAATTACTGTTGAGGAAAAAAAATCATTTGAAATAGAAAGTGCATTAGACATCACATAACTATAGCATTAAAACTTTCTAGTTACTATCTTGTAACATTACATTTTTAAATTAGACGGGGTCAACTGTATTCAGCAATCATACCCACAGGAAGAACCAGCTGAACACTGGAAACCACAACACCGGTAGGAACCATCAGCTGAATTACAGAAGGATGCCTACCAAGCTATCCACTGCCTTGTCACGGGCATAAGAGGACAGGCCAAAGTATGGGAAGGGCTAAGTAGAACAGAAAACAGGCACTGAGATTATACGAGTTTTTACATGCATCTCCCTAGGTCTTAAGCAAGTCCCTTTCAGCCAAGCAGAAAAAAAGTCAGCCATCTCAAAAAATCAAACCAAAACAAAAAACCACAATAATATGAGCGGCTGCACTGAATAAGAGTTCTTATTTCCGGATGACCTATTCATTTTTAAGCAGACAGCATCAGATGCTGACCTCAACTTCTTGGAACAGTATGACCTAATAGATTTAATTTACGATGCACAAAACACACTTGGTGTGAAAGTTGTACAGTTACCGTAACAACCTCGGGGTAACCTCAAATCCATTTCTAGCTACCAGTGTCCTCGATGCTTTAAGTCACTATATTATTTGGTTCATTTCTCTGTCTGCACGCCATGCTCAGACCCTTCCTCATGGCCAAGCAGCTCAATTTACATGTTGTTCGGTGGCACTTAGGAAAAAGAAACTGCAGGGGGAGTGAAAAGTATGGGTAACATCATGACATGCACCTTTCTAATTATTTCGCTCACAAAGCCTCAGAGTATCAGCACAGCTTTAAGTCATATACTTAAATAAACACTTGCTAGTACTTTACTATAGCAGCTCACAGCGCAAAACAAACATCACATGAAGCTATCTGCTAAACAATCTTAAGATGACCACTTTATTAGTTGAACTCCTCACAGGGACCTTTTGTAAAACTTATATAGAGAAGTGAGAAGATAGCTTATAACGTATACATAAAACTTTGCCAAGGTTCTTTAAGCTTTATCTACAGAAATTATGGCATCAGATTACTGAAAGATTATGCCATTCCCAGTTTAAGGTTTCAGAAATTCAAAAGTACTCAAAATTAATAATAACCTGTTGATTTGATCCAACTACCTGCAGAGATTCAGTAAACTTACACAGAAACACTATAAAAAGCATTGGAGATTAACAAGCATGATAACACTGGGCAGCAGTACTCGGTTTCCACAGGTGAAACCGGAGGAGCCGCACATGCTCTGCGTCTTCAAGAAATCAAGTCACCACAGCATGCAGGTAACAAATGCTCCATGACCGACTTCCCCATGGCAGAGCAGAGGTATTAGTCGTGCTTATTAGAGCATACCAGCTGCTTGGTTTATTTTTAGTCCCAGAAGATCATACAGTAAGAGATACCAAAATGAAGGTCAACTCATAAATCCACGTTTCCATATGAGCACTCACATGTGATTCTGGAGCACAAGCAGCAGTGAGACACGCAGCAGAGCCACACGCCATTGGTATACAAAGCCACTGCGTCTGCACCACATCTGCACCACACCCGACAGACCTAGCCCACCAATGTCAAAAGCATCCAGTTTGAGGACAAAAACCAGTTTTGCCAACCCAAGATCGTGAGTGATACTTGTACCGCTCATGACATTTGTAAGTTAAATGGCAATTACTCCACTGCATTATTAGCTTTTTATAAAAATAAACATGCATACACACTTCCCTTAACTATTTTGCACAAGTTGAAAAGCTGCTTGGTTAACACAAATGAAAAAAAACACTCATGGCTAATATAATTGCAAGGAAAATAAAGGTGAAGTTTCCTCAGTGATACAAGCATGGCATAAAAAGAGGAAGGTATGTCAGCAAGGAACACAACATTTTGAAGGCAAGAACCCCTACTTAAACAATTGTGCAGAGTTAAGTCTACAAATACTAGAAAAGAGAAACTGTAAGTTATCTCCACTTCACAGCTGTAACTTGGGCAACCACTTTTATAGAACAACTATGAGTTCCTTTAAAAACTGACCAGTCTCTCTGTAAAAGCAGCTTCTCACTACCTACTTACACTCTCCTCTTTTTTAATGTTCTGGTTAATTTGTCTCTGCCTCTCTACATTAATTTCAGATAGCTCAGGGTCATTCATATGAGATGTCATTTTAAGTCAAGATGAAAACAGCCAGTTAAGAGAAAAATACTTGTGGTGCCATAATAACACTTGAGAGAATACACCGCCTGCATGAAAGGGCTGGTTAAAGAAGCAAACCTATAAAAAGTCTTTATACAGATAGCTTCACATAAGCATCTGTCAAGTTCTTCCACACCAAAAGAGCCAAGCAAACCTACCAGCTCGAGGATTAAATACTAATCTAATAAAAACCATGTGACAAAGCATCTCGCAAACATAAGCTTGCAAGGTTTTGCAGCGTGCACATTCACTTTCCACTAGGCAAAAATACAAAAGAAGTCATGAAAGACACCTGTACTTAACAGAAAGCTTGTGATTTCAGTGCAAAAGACAGGAGAAGGAACTACCACAACTCTACGGAAGAAAAATTAAAGGAGAAGTAACTTCGAGAGATCAACTTATGCCCGAGGAGAAATGGACTGGGTTGCCAGACGCCCAGGGACAGGATGCGGAACGCCAGCACGAGGTGTATTCCCCAACTTGGGCAGCACGTTAGTTGGCGGAGGTGAGGAGCTTCAGCCCCTGCCTGCGAGGAGTGGACAAGCCCCAGTTCCGCCCAGA